TTCAGACTTGAAATAATATTTTACAATTATGTAAATAATAAAATCGTTCAAATGGAAATAACCATTACAATTAGAAAAATTTTGGTGTTAAAAATATTTACATTTTTCTTAATTCTTACCTTCACTCTTACACTATATTATATAGAGATACGAGATTAATGTCTGACTTACAATAGTTATATCATCTGCAGTCTAGCCAAGAGACTGTTACAGTTACACCCGTCATTATTGTCACTTTTGTCATGCCTTTCGGAGTCAGCTATATATATATAGTGGTCTTGAACCTTATTGGACTCGTGCCCACTTTGGTTGTTATTTATTTTTTGCGACTAGTATGTTTTGGAAAAAAAATAGAAGCTGATTGATGAATATACTGTTTTATACATAATAATATATTGTGAGAAAACAGTCCAATTTTTAATTAATTATTATTATTATATTATTATATTGATTGTATTTACTTTGAACAATTGAATGAAACACCTATATGATTGTCTTTACTTCGAACAATTGAATGAAACACCTAAATACATTTTTATCGTAAATTGTCTTAATCATATATCATTAAAACGTTATCAACATTATGACTCAACCCTGAAGCTCGCACGGTCGCACACGTGACCCAAATTTTGATCTCGACTTAACCGTGGTTAAAGACCGCTGTAGAGTTATATAATATACTATATAACCATATATATAGGTACAAAGGGTGTCACCGACGTGTTTTCTCGGGTTTTCCGTGTTGAAGGCCAGAGCCAAGACGAAAACAGGAAAAGGCGATGGTCCACGCCGTATAATAATATAATATTTTATTATTGCTTGGGCTATTTAAATATCGAACTCAGCTGCAGTGCGGCAGTGCGCTTCTACGTAACATCACTTGGAATACCTAATTGTCCGTATAAAATTTAGATTTAATTTTGTCTCGGTCCGCCGTATCGTGACGGAATACGATTATTTCGGAATGGAAAACGATAGGTATAGGTACTATACTATATTATATTATAGCACTCGGCCGCAGCAAAAGTCGTCTGCGGCCGGGGTAATAAAATATAAAATGATTATTGCATTAGCTGCTGGCAAGTGCATAAATTGTTACGTTGTTTGATGATATAACTTGCTGCATGTGAATAAATTATAATGAAAATGAATATATATTTCACTCTCAAATGGGATGAAATTTAAGACCATAATAATGTATAATATATATGTATACACACGCACCGATCGGTTTTGTATATTGACATTGACCTGCACGGGTGAATCGATTAAATTACCATTTTATCGACTTGGTAATTTTCTCATCCCAACAAACTGCAACTGGGAGACACGACCGACGGACATCTCGCCGACCGTTTTATTACGACAAACGTGTAGCGTAGCGATTTACGAAGACAGTTTTGAGACGACTAAATTCCGAAGCAGAATACGGAATATTAGACCAACTAAAAAAATAGGGGCTCCAGAACTCCTTGTTTTTTAAATTGAAATTGCGCCCCTGCAGCGTACCAAATGTTTTTTGATGCCAAACGTCAGTTGAAAATGCAATATTCTGTGAGCTTAATTATTATAATACATTTATTGTATTATTTACATAACGTGTCGCAATATATGCTATATATATATTTTGTTAAGTTTTGTTGTTTTTAATCATTTACTATCTAGATCTAATTACAAATCAGGTTAATTCGATTAGTAATCACTAGGGTAGTTCATACGCTAAGTAATTATTGATTACCAACTATGATATACACGTATTAATGGTATTATATAGTAATTTAATCTAACTATATAATCGTTTTATATACGTCACTTCAACCGTGGTATACCACGAAATCTGGCTGTCAAATTATTTAGGGATGTGGCTGATAATTCAACATACACAATTTGATCATTAAAATTATAATTCGTGGTTACCGTTTTATACATTACCTATGTCATCATACCATTTATCTAAGTTGTTATAAATATAAAAGGTCATTGGGGGTCCATCCCCCCTCGTTTAACCACCACTGACCACGAGTGCGTACAATATTGTCATATTTATATAGGCAATAGAAGATAAAGAAGTGTATGTTACGATCAAAGGAATAAGGAACCAAAAAGTGAAAAAGAACATTGAGGAACTAAAAATTGGGCCAATAATAAATATTGAAAAAAGGTCAAGTATAATACAATATTCTCCTCAGGTTTCACCAGAGTCGCACGCTCGATGGTCACTGCCTGCACGGGGAAAAAAATTACTAAAATATTGTGTTGAATGATATTAATTGGTATAGTGGTAAGTTACCACTGGTAACGTATTGACCTCCATAATAGGTCTACCTACTTTTTGGTTATAACGAGTGCAAAACCTATTTTGTATAGTTACAGCATTAATTCTGTAAATGTCTTATGGTGCAGAGCTCGAATGCTAAATGTTTGTAAAGCTGACATTCGTCACGTAAATACGACGAAATTGTTTTTGTAAAGTTTGTGCAGATCTGTACGGAATTTGAGTCCCATATACAGCTGCCCTCGGTCTTGCCAGGGACAGTTTACAAATTACAATATAATATTATTATTATAACTATCATCATGTCGCGGTACCTACGATACTTGCAGCAACTGCAGTACTATAATATCCAGTTGTTTCGTGCCTAAAACCGCCTGCATAGCGCATATTATTATCATCGCACCGCGTCGTCGGTCGTGTCGTGCGTCATCGGAAATCGTAAATGGCGAATAAAAATATATTGTATCGGATGTATTATAATAGTGTATAGTGCATATCGTGTGGAGAGAAAAAAAATGATAAACAATAAAAATGACGGGGAAAAAAAATCGTCGGCGATCCTCGAGCCGATTGTAACCGAAGCGTTCGCGCGGGGACGCGAAATATAGGTATTATATTATTACCGTACGGTAACAATAATAATAATAATAATAATAATGCTTCGACGACGACAACGCACCGACTCGGCCCCGAGAGAAGACCGCGCGAGCGAAACGACACGAACGATAAATCCAATTTGTATATTACACGCGTCGAAGCGAGAGCCAAACGCACACACAATATAAAATAAAATAATATCGTATAATGCATAATATAATATAAGACGCGTATTTTATTATATTATATATATCGGATAAATCGCACGCGCACATAAAACACTGCACTCGCATGTGTACATATATAGGTACACGAGTGCATCGGCGGCGGCGGCTACGACGTTGACCAACATAATATTTTTAGCGTCCTATTGTGTATATAGTGTGCGCATAATATAATAATAATATCGTATTGTGCAATAGTGGCTGGGACGGCGGCGGCGGCAGGTAGGCAGATATGGTATGGAATACTTACGTTTTTTTACCAGCGAGATGTTTTTAAATTTTTTTACGTATAATATCGAAAACGCATAGGCCATAGGTATTTACAATTAACCGATGATAATGCGTATTATATTCATATTATAATATAATATCACCCACTCGAAATAAGTATCTATATAGGTGTACCGCCGTTTCTCTATCGGAAAATAATTAACATTAAACTTCGCTTTTTGGGCCATCGTGTTTCTTTTTATAAGATAGATAATATAGATTATAGATTTTATAAGATAGAACCTACTCTAATCTCTGAGATAGAACCTACCCTCAGTTTTTTTTGCCAATTCGTTAAGACGGTGATGCTATACACCCGAATTTGCTGTCTGCACGGAATTACCTTGTATGCCATCCCTTATGACGCCTTTACCCTAACACCTTCTGTGATGGTATGCTCCTATAACTTCCCTGGCTACACGCCAACATCCCTGCTGAATTGCGTTCACTGCCTCCATGTAAACAACCAAGAATATTTGAGCACCCCGGTTTTCACAGATGAATTTGTTTCACCCTTAGAGGCAGTTTACGTTTATTTTCTTACTCAACTTCGCATACAAAGTCAGCTATAAATCTATATCTTAACATGACGTGTCTTCTTTCACCGCTCCTAGAAGCACTCTTCTATATTAGCTCTTTACCCCCCCCCCCTGTAACTACCTAATTATTTTCGATTCCCGGGCCAGTTTTCAAGCTATTTACCAGCAATACGCTTCATTTCTTTCAGCATTATTTTAAAGATCCGTGCATTATCATTTTCTTTCTATGAATTCCCGGGCATATAGGTATCACTGGTAATGAGCACTCTGTTTAAATTTACCCAGAATTACGTGTATTGTGGATGCTGGGATGGGAATACCTTCCAGACTCCTAGCCTCATCCTAGGCCTCTGGATATCAAACAATTTCCAAAAACAGGTACAGTGGTCCACTGCTATTATACTCCACATGTCAAAACTTTTAATACTAATTTCTAGTCGTTCGAAATTCGAATTTTATTAATTGTAATTCTCAGAAAATAATCTGCATCGGTACATGAAATTAATAACGTACAGGTACTGTCAAATTATAAGACAAATAATAAAACTTAAAAATACCAAATAGAATTTTTTTTTATCATTATGATTTCAAAAACCATCTTTTACGATCAAAATAACTTTCGAGAAAAATATACAATAAGTGTCAACTTAAAAAAAAATCACCCTGTACACGTGCACAAGCCAATAGTCATCAAACATAGGTAACCATATACCTATATAAACCTACATAATACCTACATAAACAGCTTGTGTGCGCGAGTGTTTGCGCATACACTGGCAACAGTATACGCAAATATTTGATATACCTACGCAGTCATCCACGGCACACGCATTTATAGTTCGTTTTTTTTATTCCGTTCGACCCGTTCGGTTGTTGTTGTTGTTGTTATTATTATTATTATTTATAGTCTTTTATTATTATATTGTCGTCGTTTGTTCTCGGCCCGTGCAGGTGCACAGACGACAACGCTGCTGCCAGCACACGCGTATATATATATATATATATAATATTTGAATATATGATATGATATATAGTGTACAAGTGTACAAGACTATAATATAAGACGTACGTATTATATCGACTCGGGCGCGACTGTTACGTGAGGCGAACGCGCGCGCCCTTTGTCGCGTAACACGATATCCGTGTCGGCTGCGGAGGTACTGTATATTGTACGCGCACGCCGCCGCCGTGTTTTCGCGCTCGAGTGTCGCATCGACAAAGGTCTCGTGCCTCCTCCCTCACCCTATCCTGTCGGCGGACGTCCGTAAGTGATCCACGATGCTCGTCCGCTCGGTGTCGTCCTTTACCTTTATTGTGATTTTTCGAATTTTTGACTGGATATAAAATGTAAATAAACTCAAGGGCCGTGTACGCCACCGCCACCGTGTTGTCGACCTCGAATGTCGTCGCTTCGCCGTCAGCGACAAAAGTCTTGTGCTTCTCCCCAACCAATCGGCGGACGTTCGTACTTGATCCACGATGCTCGTCCGCTCGGTTTCGTCCTTTAACGTGCATAATAATATACCTAACCAACGTATTACGACTGGTACGTTTGTTTAAAGTTGGTTGTTTGAATTTTTGAGTAGGTTTAAATATATAGGTATTATACTCGCACTACTCAAAGCTGGTTCATTTTAAAATAGACTCGACATTTTTATTAGGAAATATTAGTTTGAGTGACACGGTTTTTCTCGATCCAAGTCACGGATGATACCTATACCTATATAATATATAAATGTATATAATATATAATATTATGTCTTACCCTATAATATAATATATTGTAGTGTCAACGAAATCCAAAAATCACGATGAGACGAATTCATAGTGATAAATTGGTTGGTGAAAATGTATAAGTAAAATAAGCACCCTTAAAGCTTTTACGTTTGACATAAAAAATTGATCTTATAGAAAACGAAAAGTGTTGATTAACAAAATTATCGCTCTTTGAATATGTACATTAGAATTCAGCAGACAATATAATTTTATAGTCAATTCACAATATCATCGCAATTAAACTAAAATAAATGGTCAGAAAATTTGACAACATGCCTACTAAAACGAATATAATATGCGTGCAGTGACAGTTGTAGTGTGACACAAATTATTTTTGACTAGACGAGAAGTAATGACTACTAATACTTATGAGTTAAGACAGTTGCACTCAATAAGTTCTAAATCGTTGCCATTACAATAAATTCGTATGTTTTTTTGCTCAAACATTTGTATAGGTATTTAACTGAAGGTTTTAGGCCTATGGCCAATGTATTTACATAGCAACGATGCAATAATAATATGCAATAATAATATGCATTGTAACTAATAATATGAAACGAATTAGAATATTATCCTATACGTAAAAAACAAATTAGGTTCCAATAATATATATACCTACACACATCATGACATCAGGTAGAGGTACCTATACAAGTATTGTTGTCAGTTAACACTGTTTACAGTACTTACTACAATACTTTTCTCATAATATCCTAATCATTTTTCAAATATTTTTTTCACTTATTTCAATTATTATTCTATGTATTTATTGAAGTGATTTGGAATATAATTTTTTAACATTGAATATCATTATATTTATTAAATCCAACTTGTACATGGTAGGTATTATATCGTACATACGTACAAGACACAAGTGAACACACATTTAGGTACCACTTTTTATAAATTGAAGGAAAAATCAACATTGTCAAATGCGAATAATATAAAACGTGTAGATATCTATAATACCATAATATTATAACGATTCCCGTTGCTCATATTTTAATAGCTATTGTTAATATTGCATTTGATAGTTTTCAATCGGATGAATAGGTATTGCTCAAAAACGAATATTATAATATTTGAGCGTCGAGTCCAAGAATACCTCTTACGACACTGAATAATATGTAGTAGGTATCGTAGGACAATTATATAATATTATACTACCTATATATTATAATAATATACTAGTTATTACTACTACCTAGGTATACGCCACCGTATAAGAGTTTTCAGAGATTTAAATGATACGTGTGGCGGGAAAACGTTTATCGACGAAATCTCAATGCCACTATTTACGATATCATCATAAGTTATACCTGTTAAACAAACCAATACAAATCGATTAGCCCGGTGTATTATGATAATATTATTTAATTTACCTAAAATATATATTTTTATATTATTTTTATTCCGTCATCGTCGTGGGAGAGAAAACACGGCGGCGTATATACCTCAGCGCACTATTAACTGTACCACATAATATAATATTGTAGATTTTATCGACCGAAACAGTTTGATTAACAAATGTTTTTGGAAATGGGTATATAATAATAATACCTATATATGTATAAATTATTTTATACGCGCGTGTGTATGTATAGTAAAGTTTCTAATTGAATATTAAAAAACACACACACTCACTCACACTCATTTATATGTCGAAACGTCGTCGCAACTGCACACACATATATATGGAGGTACGATGGTACATAAAATCTCAACTAATTCACTATATATTATACCTAGATATTAGGACACGATACGCGCGCATATAATTACACGTGCGTACGATTTCGTATAACACAGGTATATACCGCGGTGGTATAGTGGGAAACACTGTGTATATTATAATAATATATATTATATATGTATACCTATTATATTATATGTACGTATTATACGCACTGCAGCGATGGAATCCGATGAAAACCGATAAACCAGTTAGGACGTACCTACATAATATATTATATTATAATATTATATTATATGGCCCGTCGCCGGTCGTCGTCACCGCGTGTTTATGGGCCGACTAGTCGGTGTATATTATGTATAGGTATGTATGCAATACATACCTATGTGTATACACTATGTCACGCTATTATTTCGGTTCGTAATATGTATCTTTCGATGGGTAGGTGTACTTTGAAGAGCCGTTCGCATGCGCGTCGACAAGAGAGCGTATATAATAATATAATAAAAGAAAAGAAAAGTAGAAACGCGGAGGACAGACGCATATTATGCTTAATTTTATAATAATATACCTACCTAAAATAATAATAATAATATTGATATGTCCTAATATGATGTCGTCAGAGTCCCTGCGCGGCCTCGGACAGTAGTATAATGTATAGGTACCCATTAGAATATATCTCGAACTACAAACTTTGGAAAATGAAGAAGAAGATAATTAAATACCTATAAGTATAGTGTAACGATTACTTATATTTTATGAACATAATAATATGTACAATAGGCTGTGAAATGTACATATTATGATATATACATATTTGTTATCTTTATATAAATAATGACTTGTCCTGAGTGATTCATCATCATCGCCTAGCCGGAACCGCTGAACCTATGAGTATGAAATTTGAACAGTAGTTTTGTTGTGTGACGTGGACACCCAAAAAAAAAAGATTTTTCAAATGCAATTCCTGCAGGGATTAAAAGAGATAATAGGAGTCAACCTGGAAAAAATTGATAGACGGATTGTCCTGACTGATTCATCATCGCCTAGCCAGAACTGGACGGAACTGACTGAAATTTAGCACACAGATAGGTATTATGACGTAGGCATCCGCTAAGAAAAGATTTTTGGAAATTCAACTCATAAAAGTTCAAATAAGGGCTTGCAAGAATACGACAGTGGCGCCATTTATCAAGCAATATCTAATTTAAATATACAAAATTAGTTTTAAAATACAAAACTTACGAACTTGATATTTGGAATAGTGGTTCATCTAATGATCTGTATTTTTCCCCGGGCCACGCCTGGTTATTCAGCTAGTACCTATATTATAATATGTACCTATTATTTACAATAAGCCGACTATTTAATATTGAGTTCCTCCTGTTTTGGTACCACATTTGTGATTGTAAGGCTACATCAAAATATCTATGTGTAAGAGAACACTAGTTCTCCGCGATTACAATCACTCCCACCTGAACTCCGAAACAATCCCACATTTCGGTAAACTTTGTTCGTAAGTAATAATAAACTTCCATGTAATAACAATTATTTGGATCAATCGTCATTTATTTGTAATAATTAAATCCTAAATACCATTCATGCTCCCGATCTATACTGTTAAAATATATCCAAAATAAACCAAATTCTTCCCTAAATACTGGTCATCGACGACCACGTTACAATAGGTACAGTAATAACTAATAAATAAACGTGTAACAAGGCATTCAACAACATTTTGAGAAGTTTTCAAAAATATGTAGGAAAGGATAATATTTAAAAGTATCTATATTCATAGAATGTTTTAGCTGCAAATATTTGCGTGAATGAGGCTGCGAATTCGATGCTCACAAGAAAAACCTTAAAAATGCAGTTTGAAATGCAACAAAAAAAAAAAATAGGAAAAATGAAAAACCCCCATCAGTTAAAAATCAAATCTGTCGACAAATTATTTTCTAGGTACAAGTTAAGGAAATAGAATTCGCTGTACATAATTCAAACATTTCAAACTCTCTGTTTGAAGAAAGTTACGTTTAAAAAAAATGCACTTCGGTGCAAATTTACAGCCTCCCTATTTATCAACACAATTACATGTGAACTTATCGTTTGCCTATATATATTAAAAACAATGTGCCTCCGAAATACACCTCTGAGCAGTAGGCAGTACCTATATTCTTACATAATATTATAATGCCTACGATATTACGACAAGCTTAAATCACAAAACATAATTGGCTACTGCACGTTTACCACGAAGGGCCATCAAAAATTATTAAAAATCGACTGACATCGACAACCGGATAACCACCTGTATCCGCAGCACCTTTTAACCGTATATTATATTATGCACATATTTTATTATAATATTATATTATGACGTGTCATGTGTGTGTATACCTATTCGCGTAAACTGTATGTAGCTGGTATAATGTGTACATAAATATATAAGATTTAAGAACGGAGGTGTACGTGTAAACATTGCGTCCGAGTCATTAGCTTCTTCGCTTGTTTTATATACGAACGCGCAGTGTATACACACATATATATATATATATATATATATTAATTCAATATTGTATAGTGGTATGTTATATACATAAGTTACACAGCCGCAGCCGAGTGATTAATATACACACAGATATAATATACGATACCAGTTTATGTATCCGCATAGACAGTATGTCTATAGCCGATAAACTGGTTTCCCGCATATCGATTTGGGAATAGATTATACGCTCGTCGAATAATAATATAATAATAATAATGGTAATATGCATAGGTACGAGAATATTATTATAATAATATGGACGGGCGCGAGACGGAAAAAATTCCCAACGGTGAAAAAATTCAAAATTTCTAACGTTTTTCTCTCTCCGCGATGGCGTGCGATCATCTGTAACTAACAGTGTGTCCCAAAGTCCAGTGTTACCCCAAGTATCTAAATATTCTTCCGCGGTAAATCAATATATTTAAATGCAGTTTTTCCACAATATTTGAGAAAATTCCGATTTGATAGCGTAGAATTCTTTTAAAATATAAGTCAGTT